CATTATTCATTGTGGATAAACAGAGGCTTCTCATAAAGAAGAGGGATATTCATGCATTGCAGCAGAGGGTGAGCTAGCTGAAATCTTCTATTTACCTTCTTGGGACATCCGATGTTTACATCAATCTACCCTTATATTTTTTTCAGGAAAGCCCTGAAGATGCTGGTTGGCATGACCTTGTAGCAAAGGGATATATTGAATATATTGACACTGAAGAAGAGGAGACTACAATGATTTCCATGACAATTAATGTTAGAATTCTTTCTGGAAAAATGCATCTTGTTTTATTTGGATTATAAACAGACATGTAGAAGCTGTAGGGATTCATGATTCAATTTGGAAAAACTCGTGTGCAGGATCTTGTCCAAGCAAGACTCAATCCTGAGGAGGCATATTCGGACACTTATACTCATTGTGAAATCCACCCATCACTTATTTTGGGTGTTTGTGCTTCTATTATACCGTTTCCCGATCATAATCAGGTGATCTTGTCGTACAAGTGAATTTAATGTGTTGGTTATGTTATTAAGTTATTATTCCATCTATTTATTAGCTATTGGTGTGATCAGTCTCCACGTAATACATATCAATCTGCTATGGGGAAGCAAGCTATGGGGATTTATGTCACCAATTATCAGTTCCGGATGGTATGATTTGGTTCCCACATTGAAATCAAGTATTTTATCTTCTATTGTTGAATGTTACAGTAAATTAATGATAATCTTCTTGTTGCTTCACTCAGGATACATTGGCGTATGTTTTATACTACCCTCAGAAACCTCTTGTCACCACAAGAGCCATGGAGCATCTCCACTTCAGGCAGCTTCCCGCCGGCATCGTAAGTATTTACTTTGTTTTACTATGCCTCTCTCTGTCTCTCTAACTAAAGTCTGATGATGAACATTTTCTTTGTCTTCCATTCTACATCAGAATGCTATTGTTGCCATCTCCTGTTATTCTGGTTATAACCAGGAAGATTCTGTCATTATGAATCAATCCTCTGTGGACCGTGGATTCTTCCGGTCACTATTCTTCCGATCTTATAGGTCAGTTTATCTGTAACAGCTATTGTGAATACAAATCATTTTGTTTTCCTACAATGTTGCATCAATAACTTTTTCCTGTCACAGGGACGAGGAGAAAAAGATGGGGACCCTTGTCAAAGAGGATTTTGGGCGTCCTGACAGAGCAAATACTATGGTGAGAATTTCAACTTTTAGTTTATGTTTTTAATGATGCTGCTCATGTAGTATTGGACGCCTTGCTAAGGTTTGACTTTACAGGGTATGCGACATGGTTCTTATGACAAATTGGATGATGATGGTCTTGCTCCTCCTGTAAGTATATGTATATTTGTCCTACCACGATTTTTTGTCGTACTACATCTGAAATAAAGCTTAACTAATTTTATTTGATATTACCTTACTAGGGAACTAGGGTTTCAGGTGAGGATGTTATCATAGGAAAGACTACACCCATGGCTCAGGATGAGGCTCCAGGGCAAGCTACATCGCGTTACACACGGCGTGACCACAGCATAAGCTTGCGCCACAGTGAAACCGGCATAGTTGATCAGGTTCGTTTTATTTCACTCCCACCCCCTCCCCGCCACCTCTGTTTGAGATCTACTGTCTTCTTATCAGAATACTGACATTTACTTTGTGTTTGTAGGTTCTACTGACGACCAATGCCGATGGGTTGCGGTTTGTTAAAGTACGGGTGAGGTCTGTCAGAATACCTCAAATTGGTGATAAATTTAGTAGCAGGCATGGACAGAAGGGGACAGTGGGTATGACTTATACCCAGGAAGACATGCCGTGGACTGTGGAAGGGGTGACCCCCGATATAATCGTGAACCCGCATGCTATTCCTTCTCGGATGACAATTGGTCAGCTCATTGAGTGTATTATGGGGAAGGTTGCAGCTCACATGGGAAAGGAAGGAGATGCTACACCTTTTACAGATGTCACGGTGAGTTGCACTTCCTCTTGAATTGAAACGTGTCTGCAGTTGGTTTTGTTTTTCCTGGAAATTCTCATATCTTATTATTTTCTTTGTTAGGTGGACAATATCAGTAAAGCTCTTCACAGTTGTGGGTATCAAATGCGTGGATTTGAGACCATGTATAATGGTCACACGGGCAGGCGGCTCAGCGCTATGATATTCCTTGGCCCCACATACTACCAGAGACTGAAGCATATGGTCGACGATAAGATCCATTCACGTGGACGGGGTCCAGTGCAGATCCTCACAAGGCAGCCAGCTGAGGGACGATCTCGTGATGGTGGTCTACGCTTCGGGGAAATGGAACGAGATTGCATGATTGCCCATGGTGCTGCTCACTTTCTGAAAGAAAGATTATTTGACCAGAGTGATGCATATAGGGTTCATGTCTGTGAGCGTTGTGGGTTAATAGCTATTGCAAATCTCAAGAAGAATTCGTTTGAGTGCAGGGGTTGCAAGAACAAAACCGACATTGTTCAGGTAAATCAATCTCTCTCTCTCTCTCTCGCTCTCTCTCATACGGTGCATGAATCCATGCCTAGAGTTGTAATATTGCTCCGATCGGTGAGAGGTTAATGCTATCCGCCGCTTGTCTTACGTTTGTCTAGGTTTACATTCCTTATGCCTGCAAGCTGCTGTTCCAAGAGCTCATGTCGATGGCCATAGCGCCAAGAATGCTCACAAAGGACATCAAGCCTGCCAAAAACCAAAAGAAGAAAGGAGCCTGATGTAGTTGATTGCTGAAACACAACATCTTTGCTTTCTGAGTTCTCGTCTAAACAAGCACGAAGTTAACAGGCTTTACCGTGATAATAATAGATACACGCCGGAGTTTCAAGAGGTTGAAGGCGAATCAGAAGGTTCATCAGGGCGGGTTTCGAGAAAGTTAATCAGAATTAGTGGATGCGTTTTCATCGGAGTCGAATGGCTCGTGTTTGGAATTGGTTCAAACCGTTTTGTCTTGAAAGTTTTGTTTTCGTCTCGTTTTAAGCTGGAGAGCTGGAACTAATTGTATTTCCCTGTAGTTAAGCTATCATTAAGTACATACATGTATGACATCATCGTTAAATATATATCTGAGTTCATTGATACCTCACGGTTGCCTCGCCTTTTTCTTCATAATCTTTTCTTAATCATCTTCAACGATTATAATCCTTTTTAATATCGGGATTGCTCTTTCATTAAGATGTTTTTATGTTTTATGTATGTGAGATTTTGCTTTAAAGTCTCATCTGAAATTTGTAAGACAAGTTCAAAACTTTGAATTTGGGCACATAGGGACTCTTCAATTTCAGAGGAACTGTCTCTTTCAGTCTAGTTGACGGAATAGGGTAATATAAGTTGGGATGATTTTTTATTTTCACTTAAAAGGGGTTCAGATGGTGGATAGGCATTTCAACCTTTCTTGGCCACTATTGTGTGATTCATCAAAGCTAAGAATTGAATCAAGGCATGTTTGTACGGAATACGGGTTGGGATTCGTCCTCAATCATTGGCGCCACCACATGGTGGTTGAGTTGACGAAGCTAATGTCTCTTTCAGTCTAGTTAACAAAACGTGGTAGTGTAAGACATGGAGTGTAATATAAGACATGGAGGATGATGAGTTGGGGTGAATTGGAACAACAGGCTTGAAGAGGGTAAAATATTACAGAAAAAAATAATAGTAGTGAGATTTGTACAAAGTACGGTAAAATAGCTAAATCCAGTACAACCAAAATACGGCAACAAAATCTACATCTTAATGCCAGATCAGCATTTCGCTTAATGTTGGCCCCTAAGTCGTTTTCTGCAACCCGCCGTTTGTGCAAAGCGACAGTAAGAGAAAGGCACAGTGGAGTAGGAGGAGGAGGATGATGGACAGCAAAGTGGAAGTAGACGAAGCGCCGCAGTCGGAGCTCCAATCCACCGCCGCGCAGCCATCACCGCCTTCCGGTGAGTCAGTCAGTCTCCCTCCATTTTATAACCCCCTAATAACAAACAACTTATTATATCAATCAGAGACTCCGTTTCTCTCTGCGTTTCGTGTCAGTTGGGTTTTTCTTTTTCTTAGAGAATATTTTTTTATTCTTCTATTTTAATTATTTACTTTTTTTTATTGAAATATGTGATTATGGTTTGCATTTAGCAACTGTAACTGGGTTGGGTTCACTTTAAAATTTTAAAATTTTAGAAACTTTAACGAAAAGTTCTCGGAACTGTTTACTTTAACGAAAAATAACACTTTTATACTAAAAATCAATCATGTACTATTTACTTTACCCTTTATTTTGTCCTTATCATTCAAACTCAAAGTTTTCAAACTATTTTCATCAGTTTTCCTAAAATTTTAACCATGAAGTCGCAGACGTGGGCGTAGCTACATTGGCTAGAGCGTACGTGCTCCCTTACACATTCACTCGAGTTCGAATAGTCCTCACCCCGCATTTTAGTTGTTCAAGGTAGAATATCGCTTGTATCGAAAAAAAATAAACAAAAAAAAGTAACCCACCTGGCATTTGTTTCAAAAGTCTCTAATTTCTAATGTGAAAATGGAAAGTGAATAATTTGGGTAATTTAATTGGAAATGAATAACAGAATGTGGATTATTGGATTCCGGAGAAGAATGTTGTTTGGAGCCTCTGATTTCCTTTTGAGATGAAGTAAAAATAGTGCAAGGTTTTCTCACCTGGTGAGTTGTGTGATCGTGATGTAGAAATAGCTCAAATGGTCTGTGGTTCTTGCCGCCGGCTGCTGAAGTATCCTCGAGGAGCCAGACATGTCGAGTGCTCGTGCTGTCAGACCGTCAACTTCGTGCTCGAAGGTGATTCTTCTCTCTTCCTCTTTCGCTTAGATACTTAGTGTGCACCTAACAAGTTAAGATTCTCCGTTTCATTCCCTCCTCTTTGTTCTTACTTTACGATCATTTGTGATGATTTTCTATACGTAGCGCAAAAATATATGGCAACAATGTGAAATGGGGAAGAGAAGCTAAAGCGCGATCTAAACCAACCTCAAATATGAAAGATTCGCGATGTACTCTAACAAAGTTGATCGGATCTTTTGAGTTGATTGAGCCCTGCAGTGCCTCGGTCATAGTTTTACGTAGTAGTGCCATACAATGAAACCTTGAACCCTAAACCGCGATTTCCACAAACCACAAGCAGTGTGCCATACTTGATTCTAAGCGAAAAACCGCAATTTATAATTCTATTGCTTCTCTTGTAGATTTGATAAGTCCCGGTTATCAGAGCCTTCGAGCCTTTTGTCTGTGTAGTAAAGTGTAATTTTCTCTTCTGCACATGTAAGATGTTTGGTGGTTTGCCGTCGTGATGGCAGATTGGCAAAATCTAACGGATTCTTCTTTTATCAGCTCATCAGGTTGGACAAGTTAAATGTGGTAGCTGTGCAGTGTTGCTGATGTACCTGTATGGAGCGCCTTCCGTTAGGTGTTCCTCGTGCCATTTTGTGACAGAAGTTGGGGTAAGTAAACAATTTACATGAAAAAAAAATCGTTACATATGTGAGTATCACTTGCAAGAGGCTAGCATTCGGAATAATATTCAGGGATAATCACACGAAAGGAGATTTTCCTAAAATTCTAAGGAAGTATAAGTTATGGAATTGTAGACTTCACATTAGGTACGATATGACGAGGTAAGTTATTTTCTATCAGTGAGCATATAGTGGAGGTTTTACCTTCATGGTGCTTTTTCGTTGGTAGTAGTCAATAGTATTATGTCGAGGGAGAATAAGAAAAGCACTTTCAAAATAAGTAGTCTGTAATTCGTAAGTTATTGCAAGTAGATCAGAATGCAATTGCTGGTGTTTCGTATGTGTGATGGATGTGAAACGTTTCTTTGTAGGAACACAACAAGCGCCCTCCATGGTCCGTCCAACAGGGGCAATCACCAACTCCTCCAAATCCTGTTCACTAAACTGCTTATGCGAGGCAGCCTACAAATTGTAACTAGCATCTGAAGCTTGGCGGTACAACGCGTTATATTGCCGCTGCATGGATTAGGGAAGAATGAAGAGCTTACACCGGAACTCTTCTCCAAAATTAATACGTGATCGATTTTTCACATGTAGCAGGTAATAATTTGATACCGTATATGAAGTTAAATTGTCGTGCCTTGCTAAACTGTTTCGGACTAAGCATTCTCGAAAGTCATGGGGAATTACAGTATAACGATACTAACGGGCATTAACATCAATTTTGGTTCACTACCATAGTGAAGCTGAGAAAAGAAACCTTACACCTACGGCTTATATCATATCGAAAGTATCAGTGAACGTAATACCTCGGGTTAATGGAGATTTAACAGCTGAATATTTGTAGCACTGCCCTTTTCAACTCTGAAGTAATCTTCAATCATCAGCCGGGATGTCCTCGTCGGAACCATTGTCCAAAATTGAACCCAGAGACTTTCTCAGAACACTGAAAGTTCTGTCGTCCTGTGTTTGCAAACAGATGAATAAATCTGGTTTTGAGACTTGTTTGCAGAGAGAGAGAGAGAGAGAGAGAGAGAGAGAGAGTGCCTGCTTCTTCTTTTTCAATGACTCTTCCAGTTTGTTAATTTTATCAGCGCAAGCTTTCTCATGCTCAGAAATCATACTCCTTTCTCGCTTCCCTGACATCAACCCATCAGAACGTTAGTATACCCGATTCCAATCCTACAGTTACGAGTAAGAGAGTTATTTTTTTCGCATACTCAATTGTTCGTATCGTGCGCAGAGCCTTTCCTTCTCTTCTTCATAGTTCGAAATAACTCCTGTCGAACAAACTTCCCCAGTTAGTAAAACGAAGGACCAACAGCAGTCATTTGCATTGTTGTATCTCCCATTTCATTTGAATACAGTTCAACAGAAACATTTCTTTAGCAAAAGAGAACAATGCTTAACAGCGTCGAGGGTCTATCGTAGGGTCATAATTATACGATTGAAAGACCTGTACTGCAGCCCGGGTATGATCTTAGTTTCTGAAAAACGGAGGTGGACTAAGGAACTACATGTATAGAAGTAAACGTCCTATCCATGAACCCGAAAATTACGCTAGTTTCTGAATGTTAACATAGTCGAGCACCTATCCCTCTCTCAATTAATGTAACAAGATTATCTATGTCGCTGAGTTTAAAGGAGTGAAGACTTGAACTACAAGGAACTACCTTTCAAGGCCTGCAGATGGCTTGCTTGGTCCTTGCAGAACTTTTCATAAAGTGCTTGGAACTTTGCAGCTTCAGTCTTCAAGCAATTTTCACACTGCTTGCATAAAAACAAACATTAATCAGAGCTAAAACAACTGCGAATTCAAATTTCTTCGCCGGATCATCCATTGTTTTCAAGATACCTCTTTTGAGCTCTTAGAGAGGGATTTAGCGAAACTTTGCCTAACATGTAAAGAAAACAAAATGTACCTGATTAGTTTACTTGTTGCGAAGAAACAATCAATGCAAACACTGAAGAAACTATTGATGCAAAGGGACAAGCATGTAGTAGCTTAAGCTGGCGATTCTTCCAAATTTCGGTTACCTATCCTTTTCGAGTTTGGACTTGAGCTCATCAATGGCAGACCTGACCTCAGCTGCCACACTGTCACGAAAACACAGAGTAACGATACAAATTCGAAGCAACAGAGAACGAAAACAGAATGTATTAACAAAACCTAATTCCTGATTTCTTACTCATTTATGTTGATTCAAATTTCGCATACCAAACATCGATAGTAAATTAATGATTAATCATCTTAATTAGTAGCATTACAAATTCATATCGTAAATCGGATCAGAACGAACGCGTTCAATAAAACAAGCAAGCAATCGCAGTCAGTTATCAGAATTTTCATCAATTTAATTCAGGCGAAAAACAAACACCAATCAGCATCTATTACGAAATCGCAAGAAAATACTGATCGAGCTTCCAATTTAAGCGATAACGAAACCTGATCGGACCGAAACGATTCGACTCACCTCGAAATCGTCTCTTCGTTCTTCTTCAGACCGTCCTTGTGAGCCTTCTCTCGGATCTGATGAATCGCCGACATGATTCCCTTGATATCACTGCGTATTCAGAACCGCACACTTTCATCCACAAATCGCAAGGCAAAAAATTGAAAAATGAAAAGAGAAGAATCGATTAATCGGATAGACGTACTTGGAGAGGTCGAGGTCGAGATCGAGGTGGTCCGATTTGGCGATCTCCGGGTCGGTCCTGCGCTTCTTGTTGCTCGCTTTGGCGGTCGACATTGTTGTTAGGGTTTGGAGCTTGAGGATTGTGGCTTGGAGGTCGAAGAAGGTCGTTCGAGTCACCGAGTGAGATTCCCGCGCTTTCAAATTTGGTACTGTTTCTGGATATTTCGAATTTCTGAATGGGAAAGTTGTGCGCGTATTTATACTCGCGAGTAGCTACTAAACTGCTGAATTTATAAATTAAAAAGGAAATTATTACTGACACTCAAAAAATATTATTATGCATTCTAAATTTTTTATAATTAGTAAAATTGGTGATTATATTATGTCTTTTTTTTTGGGTATATAACTATATGTAAATTTTTGTTGAGTCAGGCCTTTTGGCTATAAGTGGGCCGGAAACAAATAATAAACATTTTTTTTCTTTGAAAATTTATATTATGTAGCGTTCAAGTGCTAAACAGTTATTAAGTTAATAATAACACGACTCTTATTTCCAATTACATAATGTAATCTCATAACACTCAAACTTAGAAGATTAAGATGACACTCCAAAGTCAAATAAACTTGAGAAATTATGCGCACAAAAACGACAATATAACGAATATGAGGACACTCTTTGCTAACGAGCAATGTGGACTCGGAAGAGAAACTGTTGACCCTAGAAACTACCAAGCCTACGTGGCGCGCAGGCCGAGTAATTAATGAGCTAACTACGTCCTTCGGTGAATGCGGGGCGTGCCAACTCGTCGGCCGAGCTCGGCCGAGGAGTAAATTTGTTGATGTTGCGTTGGGTCGCGCTACTGACTTCTGCGTCTTGCGATTGCGGCCGAGAAAGGAACACGTCTCGGCCTCTTGGGCTCTCGAACCTGAAGACAAGGTTACTATTCTTACGAAGTTCAATATCAAATTCGGCTTTCAATGTGCCGAATGTAATAACTGTAACACCTCACTTCGCCGAGAAGGCTGATGAGATGACCTCGACCAATAAGGATTTAGAAACCCTTCTCGACCGAGACTTAGATAGGTAATCAATCGTTCTCGCCGCAGTGCTGTTGATGCCAACGGAAGATACTGCGAGACCGACTGACTCTACGGTGACAGAGTTATCTATGCCGACTTAAGATATCACCGGTTGCTTCCACAGTGCTGTTGATGCCAACGGAAGATGTGTCAGCGAGAAAGGAAAAAGAAAAATCACAAGTTGTGAGAATTTGCGCAGGGCAATTTTGTGTGTTGAATTGAAGGGTTTTTCAATGTTGCTGAATGTCTTGTATTTATAGTAGCAGAACATCGAGCCCGAGTTCCAATCCTATTCGGACTAGGTTTCCTTCTCCGGATTAACATCCCCTCGATCAGTCCTATCTCCGCTAGGACTACGAATCTAGTCCTTAACTGAGCCGGATTCGCTTTCTAGATTATTGATCTCGTCGAGAGTCCCTATTGTACTAAGACTCGACTTGCGTTATGATTTAACCGACTTAGGCTTGGAAGCCCATGAGCTGAACGCTCCATGACCCTTTTGTCGCACGGCTTCTCGGGCCGAGAGTGATTCTACCCTCGGCCCAACTATTATTTTGGGCCCAAACAGAAACTAACAAGGAACCAACTAGTGTCAATACCAACTTGAATTTTGTACTCAACACCAATAGTGAAACCACCAGAAACAACGAAGACCCAGGAGAACCAAATAAAATATAAACACAAACACAAAATTAAAATAATCAGTACGAGATGCTCGTAAATAAACTCACTAAGGAGGCACTTATAGATGAAAAATACTAAAACGAAAGGAGGAAGGTTGGGATAATGAGATAAGGGCTGCCACCGGCTCCAAGTCGAAACAAGAGGCGGATGGCTATGGAGTTTTAAGATCTAGGATTTTGGTATCCAAACGATTGGTTAGTATTGTATCAATTTACTAACTGATTAATACTTAAGCCTAATTAATTATTTATGTTAAATTTTTAAGAGTAAATCTCAGTTTACTATTATGAATTTTTTTTGTTTTCAACCTTTTATACATAAGTTTTTTTTTTTCCATCTCAGTCTGGTACCTAAAATGATAATTTTGACACTTTCATACATCTGTTAAGTTTTCTGTTCAAACAGATGTTAACCTATGATGTGGCGATCGCATGAACAATAACTAGATGCCACGTGGCAATTTGAGCCCACATAAACATTAAAAATTAAGAAATTCATGAGTTTAACAACGATTCCCTCGCATATGAACTATGAAGACTTGGAATGTTCATATCACCAAGTCAATTACTTACACAGAGTTCATGGGGTCGCGATGCTAGAGCTGAGTGGTCCAAGCGAATAGTTGTAGTAGTCCAATTTCCGTTTTGTTTACGATAAAAACCTAACATCATCTCTAGTCCATAAAATGACAGTTGTAGTAGTCCAATTTCCGTGTTACCATTTTCTGTCGAATCTGTCAACTTGTTGGACGTCTATGAAGGTCTCTGCTAGTCAATCACTTGCCTTCGACTTGGGGCAGATGTTAGATTCTTTTTTTTTTTAAATATATAAAATTTAACGATCAAAACATTTAAAATATTGTGTATTCCGAAGTATTCAGAATTTTTGTGTATATGCATGCAGATACGTGGAGGTGGAAAAACAAGAACTCACGAATACGCATATTGCTTGCAAGATTTGTACAAGATAGAGGAGATGTGCTTAACTTCTAGTGCTTCAAACTTTTGCTAGCCAGCTTCAAAGTTATGTGCGTGTCTCAAATGCTTCATCTTTCACGTGGATTCATGTCCACCCACGACAAAAGAAAGGGGATGGGAGACCAAGATCAACTATTTGTGATAAGTAAATAAATAATAGTCAGTTACTTAAAATATTAAAAAGAAAACAAAAACATAGTAAGATATGGTTCATGTGAAAGGACAATTCTCCCTAACCACCACGGGATGATCTAGTGGTTGGAGGCGAATTATATGGTTGTATTTTATATGACACGTTCTGGGTTCGATTAATGACATGGGTGAATGCACGATGGTGGCTCACGGGAGGTTGAAATGCATGTATGAGTCTTTTCAATTCCTATAAGAATGGACTGCCATGACGCAACAATCAGCTGATTCCTTATCTACAAAAAAAAAAAATGAGATAAGGGCTGCCATCGGCTCCAAGTCGAAACAAGAGGCCGACGGCTATGGAGTTTTAAGATCTAGGATTTTGGTATCCAAACGATTGGTTAGTATTGTATCAATTTACTAATGGATTAATACTTAAGCCTTATTAATTATTTATGTTAAATTTTTAAGGGTAAATCACAGTTTACTACAAGGAAATTTTTTGGTTTCTAACCTTTTATACATAAGTTTTTTTCATCCCAGTCTGTCACCTAAAGTGATATTTATGACACTTTGATACATACGTTAAGTTTTATGTTAAAACAGATATCAACCTGTGAGGTTATGCCCGCATGAACAATAACTGGTGCCACATGGCAATCTGGGCCCACATGAACATTAAAAATTAAGAAATTCATGAGTTTATCAACGATTCCCTCGCATATGAACTATGAAGACTTGGAATGTTCATATCACCAAGTCAATTGCTTACAGAGAGTACTTGGGGTCGCTATGCTAGAGCTGAGTGGTCCAAGCGAATAGGACGAGCCACGAGGTCATCCTAGTCCATATTCTGGGACTTGGATTGTCTGCTCTCCTAGTTGTGGTGCCCTTCCATGCTCTCTTATTTTGTGCGGTCACGGTTAAGCCACGTTAATATTTTATATTTTTATTATTTTTTGTCTTATTATCTTATTAAAAAATTAATATAAAATATTGACGTGGTTTAACCGTGACCGCACAAAATAGAAGGGCATGAAAGGGCATCACAACTAGGAGGGCAGACAATCCAAGTCCTACATATAAACCATCGGTAGTCAATTTAGCTTAAAAAGATCAAATGGAAAAAGGAATCCGATTTCAAGTTGTCAACTAATACCTCTCTAAGACCATCTTCAACCCTTGAGCTAAAAGCCAAATTTTTTAGCCCAAAAAGTTTAACTTTTAGTCCAAAAACAATTTTTCTGCTCCAACCCTTAGGCTAATTTTTTTTCTTAAATTAACTTTTAAAAAAAAATTAATTATGTAGACCATCGTAAATTAATTTTATGAACATTTTAATCTAAAAATTTTAAATTCCGATAAATATTGAAAAATCAATAAATTTTTCCACAAAGCAAGCCTTCATTTTTTTTTAAATTATTTTAGCCGTTGGATTTTGAGCCGTTAGATCTTTTTTTTTACCATTAGATTTGATTATATTCGATTTCAGCCGTTGGATTCAATGTATTTTAAAATAACATTTAAAAAAAATTAAATTTGAATCTAGACCGTTGGATCAACCAACGGTCCAATAATGCCAACCGTCCGATGAACAAAAGAGTCGTTGGGCTCATAATTGCTTCCGACAGCAGCCCTGACAGTGGGTCCCATTATGTCGGGCGCTGAAGGCTAACGCCCGCGTGGAGCGAGTGGCGCGAGTGACGGGGCGAGAGTGGATTGGGAAAGAGAGAGTCCACACATTTATGGGCTATTTCTTGGGGGGAATTTGGCCCTCAATTGGCATTTGGCTTTTAGCCCAAAGATTTGGCTTGGGTTGGATTGGGTTTGGGGGAGGGGGGAGGGGGAATAGGGGGTAAATTTGGCATTTAGCCTAGGGTTGGAGATGGTCTAAGGCTGTAAAGTTGCTTTTTACTCTGGTCCACCTTTGGTCTAAAGTTTGTAGCGTATCAACTTTTTCTCCTTCCCCTACTTTCTACTTGTATAGGACTTCCAACACTCGGAATAGCGTTATAGCAGTAATTTAAATCAATAATAATATTATATAGGAAATTTAATTAAGAAACATAATGTTGGGATCATTCATCTATGTACAATCTAATATTTCGGTCCCAAGTTCATCATATTCTAAAACTCCTTTAAGGACTAAAATGTCTCTCTGTGAGTCTTCAGAGTCTCCGAAATGATGAACTAGCATATCTAGAAAGAAAGAAAAAATACCTTCAAGGACGAAATCAAAGGAAAAAGGATCATTTCTAGATCCTCTTTGTGGGGATCTGAAGGATCAATCAATCATGTCTCTTTATCGTATATCGTGCGATCAGTTTTCGTTAGATACTATTTATATTCAATTTTAAAATTTAAA